TTGATGGAAATATTGGGATGTGACAAATTTTGAATCGTATGTTCATTTTAAATTATTCAACATTTTGACGAGTTATGGGAGAGGTACCAAAAAAAGTAGCCCATTCTATTTGTAATTCGTATCAGATCTTTAGTTTGTCGAAATATTTAAATGTCCGAAATTAGAAAATGTTGAACTCTTATTTAATATTTTATAAGAGTTATTATTATTTTTACTTTTGACCCTTTATGTGGGCCAGATACTTAATGGAGCGGCCCAATATTGTCCATCGGTGTGAAACCTTTTGAAATTCTATAAGATAAATTATTGTCTGTGAAAATGTTGACCTTTTTGGTGGGAGGTACCAGAAGTTGTGAATCGATATTGCCGAACTTGATCTAACTTTGATAATATTAAGATGTAACAAGTTTGTACCAAATCGTATACTCCCTTCGAAAGTTATTATGCGCACCAGCCGTACAGGTGGACAAACGTATTAACGGACAGACACCCCTAGATCGACTAAAAATATACTGAAACAGATTTGGTCCACAGAGACCTAGGGTCTGCAACTGTTACTTCTATGAAGTACGTTGTGGTCGATGGCTGAGAGTATAAAAATAAGGTATTTCCGTACAAAAGTCCTGGATTTGCGTATCCTTAGTCATCTGCCAAGAGAGGATTTATGTGATTTGGTACGACTGAAATATGTCCCCACGAAATAACGATGATGGGTGTGGGGTCTCTATGGACGAAATTCTTTATAGGATTTTGCAGTTGATCTTGTCATGTCCGTCCATCTGTGCCCGTCCATCCCATTTGGTCCAAACTTGGTAATATTTAAAAAAGGCTTTAATCATGTGAAAAAATACACAAATTGGCTGCCTCCTTCTTGTAGGTCCTCCAAAAAAATTTAAATTTTTCAAAAAAAATTAAATTTGCACCGTTTACCTGATAGACCCCAAAAATTTGGTCCGTAAAAAAATATTGACCCGCTGCTCCTCGTTCCGCCCCACACAAATGGTCAACATTTTGAGTAGCAAACAATTTCGAAAAATGTGTCAATCCATCAACATATTATGCCACAAAACAAGTAAAAAAATTAGCTATGTTCTGCCGGGCCGAACTTTTAATACACTCCACCACTTGAAAAGCACTCTAAAAATTAAAAAATAAAATCCGCCCAAATGAAGACGGTTCAAATAAAGACCGTTATATGGCGACTATACGAAGACGTGGGCGTGCATGGGATTGTATTACCGATTCCGAACTTCAAATACAAAATTTCAAACAATTTTAGTTAAAAAGGTCCCTAATATCATCAAAATACCGGAGGTACCATTATATAAGGGCTATACAACAACGTGAACCTGCATAGACGATTTTCCGTCATGGGTTGTAGTACCCGTTACGAACTTCAAATACGAAATTTTAAACAATTCTTAATAATAATGTAGGTAAAATCATCAAACTACCGCATATCGGAAGGTATCGTTATATGGCTGCTATACGAAAAGTGGACCTGCATAAGTAATTTTTTTAAGGTTTAAGTACCTGTAAAGATTTTCCAATACGAAATTTTGAATTTTTTGCGGCAAATAAAGTCGCTAAATTCATCAAAACACCGAATATTGGAAGGTAGCATTATATAATGGGGCTATATCGGTCCACGATATCTTGTAGCCCCCATATAACTTTATCTCCCGATATTAGATATTTTTTGTTTTTTTGTTTTGGATTTTAGTCACATTTTTCAATGGCATTGTCTGAAATTCTACGCAAGGAGTTCGCTCTGAGTACTTTATCCCCTGAAAGATAATTTTCTATATAAGTCCATGATATCGTATAGCCCCCACACAACGGTGCCCAAACCCCCCACCCCCGATATTCGATATTTTGATAATTTTAGCCACATATTTCAATGGAATAGTCTGAAAATCCACAAGGAATTCCCTCTGAGTACTTTACTTCCTGGAAGAGAATTGTCTACATACATAGGTCTATGTTTTAGTTTAACACCCATATAAAGCTACCCCGAGATATTCGATATTTCCAGGATTTTCGCGACATTATTCACTGTAATTGAGTCAAAAAAAATTGTCTATGCAGGTGTTAGAGAAACCCCCAATTCACTGGAATCGCTTCTAATTTCTTATTTGAAGTTCGGAATCGTTACTCCAGCCTATGAAAAAATTACTTATCCAACACCACGTCTTCGTATTTTTTTTAATTTTCAATTTCCTTCCCAATGGTGGAGGGTATAAAAAGTTTGACCAGGCCGAACTTAACTGCTGTTTTACTTGTTGTAATCTGATTTTTTTGTAAAAATCACATATATTCAAGATTATTTCTACTCGGGCTTCCGGGCCAAGGTACAAAGGACTTGTTATTGAAATTATTAATAAATCTGTCGGCAAACGACATCAAAAATCTTCTAAAAGTCTGGGAACTCCAAGTCATACTACCCAACAACTATCATTTATTGCTTCAAATGTGACCAACAATAAGACCTGGACCTCAATATCCTACATAGATTCATAATTGTTTGCTTAATTTAAAAAAAAAAAACAACAACTATTTCGCAATTATCCCGCACGTTCACACTGTGCTTCCTTTGATAAAGAGGACCCCCTTAACACTATTTCCATTTCAGTTTCTCATCTAAAAGTCAAAGGTCATTGTAAATTCAAAACAAATCTTTCACTTCGATATTTTCTCAATAACAGTGACTTGTACAAAAAAAAAAATAGTTTATTTTCCCTCATCGTGCTCATTTATCTCAATAATGGTTGATGATGTTATTTCTGTTCTAGTTACTACGGTTGTTTTGTTGTTGTTGCTGTATGTGTGGTTGTTTCTATTTTCGTCTTATCATCCTCACAGATTGCATAGCCAAGAATTTTCAACTAAATCCATTCGACTACTGGATATTTTGTGCCTGATTATTTACTTCTCCTTCGGGATTTCACAACTCATTTGACAATAAAGTAGCCGTAGCCCATGTTCCGGAATGAATGATAAATAAACATTCATCTATGCCCAACCATTCAATTCAGTCTTTCATTCATTTCATTCATTTCATTCATGCATCCCAACAATCGATAGATCCCAATGAACTGGGAATCGAGAACCCTCAATGACACATTTTTCCTAGCACCGAAATGACATTGAATGCCTGTTGTTTTGTTGCTTGGCCTACTATCGAATTGGTGTCTCTCTCTCTCTCTCTTTCAGTCTTACTTCCTCTACGAATCAAATGCAACAACTTACCCCATTCAGGAAATTGTTATTGTTGTTGTTGTCGTCTTTGTCGTACTGCTGTTGGAAAATAAAACACATTTTGTCATCGGAAGACAATTTAACGAGATAAGGAATTCCAAGAAAGATACGGAGAATATCATTAATAAAATGAAATACCATTGTAATTGAAAAGATTCACATGCTGTGAGGACGAGGTGGGTGCCACACAACAGATGGAAGCTGGGTTAGTACACGTTGCAGAATGTTGGTTCCCTATTTTTTAAATTTGCTGATGTTTCCTTATAGGAAGGGCGTTTGTAATCTACAGGGTGAGATGACAAAACTGCAAACAACTTCAGACTGCTGTCATTACTAAGCCACTCGTCCGACAGCTGTTAAAATTATGCCAGTGACAGCTCATTATATTGTTTACAAGCGTACAAAAGCATTTTGGTGAGAATTTTCCAGACAAAAATTTTTCCGTGATGGAATTCAAGCGTGATAGTGTGATTTCTTTATATTTGGCTGAAAACCCACAAGTGGCTACCGCTAGAGCTCTCCAGCATTTAAATGTGAATAAATCTCTTGTGTATCGTGTCATCGGTTGTAACCGTGATGCTAGTAGCGTAGACCGACGTCAAGGAAGTGGGCGGAACAGCAACATCAGCAGAAATGATTCGAAAAGTAAAGAAGCGACCCGCGTCACAGTGACCGAAAAATGGCTCGTGAGCTGAACATGTCGCAATATTAAATTCAGCAAATATTGAAAAGTGAGCTCGGGGTAAAGCCATTGAAATTCCAAGTAGTGCAAGAACTTACACCGCAGCAGAAAGAAAATAGACTCGATAGAGCTAAAGAGTTGTTTCGCTTGTTCGAAAGTGGTGAACTGCCGAATTGGGTTTTCTCCGATGAGAAACATTCTTTGTCCAGCACTTTGTAAACAAACAAAATGATCGCGTTTACTTGCCAAAGAGGTCATCTGAAAATTTGCACATTTAGTTGGTCAGCAGAACTCAAGCGCCGGCCATGGTAATGGTGTGGGCCGCCATAACAACCGATGGTCGTTCTTCGCCCGTATTAATTGACCCTGGCATCAGAAAAAATGCCGAAAAATGTCGCGAAAATGTTCTGGAGGGTGTATTAAAGCCTTGGGCACGTAAACATTATAGCCGCACATTCCAACAGGACTCAGCACGCGCCACCCAAAAATGGTTACAAAATTAGGTTTCTCGCTTCATTTCCAGCACACAATGGCCACCAAAATCTCCGGATAACAATCCATTGGATTATTGTGTCTGGAGTATTTTGGAAAGCAAGGTTGGCACTAAAAAATACCAAAGTGTCGATCACCTAAAACAAGCTCTTCGCCGGGAATGGGCCAAAATACCGCAGAGCAACATTCGGGCAGCGTGTGACGGTTTCATTGGCCATTTGAAGGCCATAATTCGTGCCAAAGGTGACCAATTCGAACAAATCTAAACTTTTTTAAAATTTGATGCTGTATCCGAAATTTAAAAAAAAATGTAAAAATTAAGGCGTTTGACCTTTTGCAGTTTTTTTATCTCACCCTGTGTACAGTAGAAAAATGTTTTTTTTTCCAAAATGTCAATCGCAAACAACAAAAAACCGAAAAGCATACATATACTTACGAAAATAGAAGGGGCAGTAACTCTCTTAGAAAATTTATATTAGGCCGAAGTAGAGATAAAGCTTCGTTCTAAATTCGCCCTAATTAACTACAGCAACATATTCAATCTGGATGATAAGGGATGGCAAATTTATTAAAATCCATCTACTTGGAGTGATTCTTTACTACTTTTTACCGCTTTGTTTTGAAATTTGTGACATTTGACATTTTTTCACCCAAAAGCCAACAAAGAATTCCAGAAGCTATTCCATTAATTAGTTCTCAACAAATTAGGCTTTAATACCTCATTTCTCTCCTCCCATTAAACATCAAATTGATTTCTTTTAAGCGCCACTCAATAAAATCCCATTCACTTAATTTTAAATGTCTCTTCGGTGATTTTTTCAATTTCTTTAATCTCCGTAAACACAGTCTTCGTTATCAGGGCCATAAAATCCTTGGACTTTTCCATAATTTGTTTTATTTTCTCCAGCAATTCCTTGTTTTCCGTTTCCAATCTACCTTTGAAGCCCTGCGCAGTGGCCTCGATGTAACCACGTAAACCCATTAGGGAAGCTTGAACGGCGACGAAATTCTCATATAGGCCCTTTGGGATCTTTGCCTCAATATCGAAATCACAGCTAAGTTTCTTTTTATTTCCTGACATTTTAATGGAGTTAGGTAATTTGAATTGGATTTAAAATATTTTCAAATTGAAAAGGAATGACAATTTAAGTAATTTTCAAATCTGAATGAAATAAAAACAAAATACTACTAAAAATATTTGGACACTTATCATTCAAGGCATATTTTTGAAAATGCCATAATTATTACCAGTAAGTAGCAAAACAAACCCTGGTTTGACTATAAGGGTGAGATAAAAAAACTGCAACAAAGTCAAACGCTATATTTTTTACATTTTTTTCTTAAATTTTATTGAATGAAAGCAAAAATATCGAAAATAGCATTAAATTTCAGAATAAGTTTAGATTTGTTCGAATTGGTTACCTTTGGCACGAATTATGGCCTTCAAACGGCCAATGGAACCGTCACACGCCGCCCGAATGTTGTTCTGCAGTATTTTGGCCCATTCCTGGCAAAGCGCTTGCTTGAGCTGATCGATACTTTGGTATTTTTTAGTGCCAACCTTGCTTTCCAAAATACTCCAACGAATTGGTACCCGGAGATTTTGGTGGTCATTGTGCGCTGGAATGAAGCGAGGAACCTCGGTAACCATTCTTGGGCGGCGCGTGCTGAGTGCGTAGGTGCTGAGTCCTGTTGGAATGTCTAAAGTCTACTGCCAAAATGTTTACATGCCCAAGGCTTAATATACCCTTCAGAATATTTTCGCGTTAATATTCGGCATTTATTCTGATGCCACGGAAAGCGACCATCAGCTGTTATGGCGGCCCACACCATCATTTTGCAGGAGCTTGAGTTCTGGTGGCCAACCAAAGGTGCACACACACGATCATTTGGTATGCTTACAAACTGCGTGACAACGAATGATTACTCATCGGAGAAACCACTTTCGGCAAAGCGAAGCAACTATTTAGCTCTATTGAGTCTATTTTCTTTCTGTTGCGGTGTAAGTTCTTGCACTTTTTGGAATTAATGGCTTTACCCCGAGTTCATTTTTCAATTTCAATGGAATATTGCGATATATTCAGCTCACCAGCCATTTTTGGGCCACTGTGACGCGGGTTTTGATCAAGTCGCTTCTTTACTTTTCGAACCATTTCTGCCGATGTTGCTGTTTTCTTCCGTCCACCTTTTTGATGTCGGGCTATTTTACCAGTATCACGGTAACGAGCGATGGTACGAGACACAACAGATTTATTCACATTTAAATGCTGGAGTGCTCTTACGATAGCCACTTGTGGTTTATCGTGGTTTCAAGACACAGACGGACATCGTTAAATCGACTTAGAATTTTATGCTGATTATGATTGTAAATGCTTTATGGGGTCTACGGCGAATATTTTGGAATGTCAAAGTTAATATACCCTCCTTTTCAAGTTGGAGGGTATAAAAATAGTGTATACAGGTTCAAGTATAGCCCACATAACGGTACATCCCAATATTCGGCATTTTAATGGTTTTAGTAAAATTTCTACACCAAATTTCATAGGGTCTTAATTAGTACTCGAGCAATATAAACTCTCCTTGCAAAATATTTACAGTACCTAGCTGAATGTCTTATAAAAACGTGGTTGCGTCTTGACATATTTGATTAATATTTTCCAACTAACAGTAGATGATATAAAAACTTCCACTCAGTTGAATTTAATCCTCCTACATTTCTTTAATTTATAACTATACGGTAACCCTAACATTTGTTTATGTTAAGTTCTCTATTTTGTTTTGTGCGTGGTCGGGTTTCTAATTAAAAAAGTTAACATAAAAAGTAATAAAGTGTGTAAAATTACAATTGAATGTGTCAAAATAAATAAAAAGTAATCAAATTCCAATGAAGAAATAGAAAATATTTGTCATAACTTTTTGGATTTGTTGATTGCTGTTTTGTTGCATTGTGTTGTGTTACAATTTCTTGGTGGCTACTTACGAGGGAAGAGAGAGAGAGAGAGAGAGTGTGAATGAACTGCAGTTAATTTTCTCACTATCTTCGTGGTGCATAAACATTTGTTCAAGGTAGATGTACTAGGTAATCGCATCAGCCCAGCTGACGGCACCATTAAATGTCAAAACAAATTGCTGTAATGAAGAATTCGCCCTAAATGCAACAACAAATTTGTTTATGTTGTCTTCCCTAAAAGTACCTTTTTATAATATTTCAAATAATTTAAGAGCAAGTTTAGAGTGAAACCAGTAAAAAAATTAAAAGAAATTGAAGGAAAGAGGTTAGAATGGAGTGCAGCTTTAAGAATTAAGTTAGCCTCAACATCTAAGATTCCCAAAGCACATCACGGGAAGTAGTGCTAGAATTCGACTCTCGCCATTTGCAGTTCCGGAAAACTTTCGGTTTAAACCAGTAAAATATAGTCATTATAAGTTTCTTGGTTTAAAAAAATATCGCAATACCACAATTAATACTTATTTTACTCTTATTTGTTTTACAATAAAAACTTTTATTGCGACTTTCTTTTACGACGAGAGGCACACAAAATAAAATGTAAACAAACACCTCGTTTCTGATTGGTTGAAACAAATTTGCCGCAACCTTTAAATGTCATGGCGAATCTATGTTTTTCCCCTTAGATGCCAATTTTGACATTTGAGGGTACCACAAAAGTTGCTTTGTTGTAGCAATTCGCCGATGCGGTTACCTGTTAGATCTACCTTGCATTTGTTGTTGTACGTTCCCAAATCTTTCGTTATTGTTGTCATCATGATCGTCCGTGAGAAGAAACTGTCCATAGAGATGCCAATATCAGAAAATTAAGGTAAGTTTTAACGTTGTTTTATTATTCCAAGTGTGGCTCATTTAGCGCATTTTCTGAATTCTCAGAATTTTGTTTCATTTTATAAAAAAGGAATCTAGGACTGATTGATTATTTGTAAATACTAAAAATAGCCATATTTTCACTGTAAGTCCAACTTCGAACTGAATTTTTTAAACAATTTTTTTCGTTATGGAGTTGTCATATATATCAAGTATTTGCTAAAGCCCTCATTTAAGGACCCCGCTATTTTTTCAAGGACCACATATTTATTTTTTTAGCAGTGATTACATATGTTTTTGTTTTTTAGAATGCCAACCATTTATTTTTTTTATAAAAAAGTAAAGTAAATATTTTCAGTATTTTAGAAATATTTTTCCAATGAACTCATTACTTTGTTACGGATATTATTCTCAGGGCCCTAAACATAATTTTTTTTGTAAGGATTTTTTCGAGGACGTCAGCACGATTTTTTCAAGAACCTTCAGTAAATTTGCAAGGGCCCTAAAATAGATTTTTTCTAGAACCTTATGTATTTTTTCTAGAATAGGTATGTTTATATTTTACGATCTTTTTTTAAGTAATTAAATTTAACAACTTCAAACGTGGATTGATATTTGATGTAATATATGGAGCTTCCTATCTCGCCCAGCTGAATCGATCTAGCTATGTTTGTATTGTATTGTATATGGCTGGGCAAAAGCCTATTAATTTGAATGGCCATCGGATAATATTTATATGATGAAATGGACCATACCTTTTGTTTACAATCATAATAAACTATATATCTTAAAATACTGATCAAATAGGCTCTTTCGCACACTTGGTCCAAACTCATCTACAGCGTAATTTTTCAGGCAATCATCTTTTTTCTTTTCCCCCCTACCCAATGTATCATCTTTTTTACCCTCCACCTTGGAAAGGTATATTAAATTTGTCATTCGGTTTGTAAAACCTCTAAATATTCGTTGTAGATCCCATAAAGTACATTCATTCATGATCAGCATTCTAAGTCGATTTAACTATGTCCGTCGGACTCTCCGTCTGTCCTTCTGTTAAAATCACGATACAGCCCATATTATTTGACGTAGAGTTTTTCAATTCGGCACAGTAGTTTGCATTGTGTCTAGGATGGTTGTTATTGATGAGATAGATATATCGGTTCACCTTTTGGGGATAGCCCCCATATAACGGTAGCTCCCGATATTCGCTATTTTGATGGTTTTAGCCACACTTTTCTACGGATTTGTCTAAAAATTTGGTATTTGTAGTTCGTAATGGATTCTAGCTCTGGGGGGCGAACAGTGGTACCTCCCGTTATTCGGGGATTTGTCTAATAATTGGTATTTTTAGTTCGTAATGAGTTCTAGCTCTGGTGGTGGAACATTGAATATATAGGTCCAATTTTTTTATAATATGTAACGGTTCATTCGGATTTTCTGCATTTTGATTAATTTAAGCCAAATTTTCGAATAGATTGTTGTTAAATTTGATATTGATATTTTGAAAATACCGAATATTGGGGGGGGGGGAGAGTACCGCTATATGGGGCTATACGATGTCGTGGATCGATATAGTCCATCTTCGAACTTGACCTGCCTGCAGACAAAAGACTGATGTGTGCAAACAGACAGACCTTCTTCTTAGAAATCCACGCTAATTACGCTTTCTTCATTCTTCGAAATATGAAATTTTTCTTCGTTACTTGCCTAGACGTCACAGGATAAATGTTAAAGTCCGCGACTGTTACATTCGCAGGTACTTTGTGTCCCATCAAATCAATCATTTCCATTATTCGGTTCTTTTGGGTTGGGTTTCCCACGATTCTTGACACAAATTTAAATTCAATAAAATTTCAAGCAACACTTTTTTTGTTTCATAAAACAAAGGCCATGTTCGGATAGATAAATCATAAAATTCATAAAATGTTTATTGTTATTATCTGATAATTTGCATTTATTGGATTTATGGAATTTTTAAATGTATCCGCAGATAAGATAAGACATAATTCCCTGTAATTTGAAGAAAAAGGCAGTTTAATGCCTGCCGCCGTCGTCGCTGTCATTTGATTTGAAACCACCTACTCTGCTCGGTGTCAGTCAGTCAGCATGTGCCATTGTCGATCATTAATCGCCGAAAAGAAACCAACACCAAAAAAAAAAAGAAACAAGATGTTCTTCTCATTCATCAAGGAGACAGTTGACATCGCCGTTTTCGGGGTGTTTGTTGTTGCAGCAGCAAACCAATCAAACGACCGAACAGCGAACAAAGACCATCAATTTCCCAATTAATGACATACAAAATCAATTAAGATCACTTGATCTGAAAGGGACTTGCTGGGCTGACAAAAGA